GAGAGGGAACTTGTTATTTCATGTGAGAGTCTCCTGCTTTGGTCCTGCTTCTGGGACTAAACAATTTTTTAAAAATATACATTCACCTTTCCATTATTGTAGTAGTAGAGAGTGTTTTTAAAGTAACAATTTTAAGAAGTCCTGTAACCAAGTTTATTACTATAACTGGGCTATGAAGAAGGCTATCCACAAGTCCCTTCTGTGTTCTCCATTGTCAGATTAGAGTTCAACTACAGATCCTATCACTAAGGAGTACGTTGTGCTTACCAGCCACGTTATAAATAGCTCAAGCTGTAAACACATCCTATATACACTGCAGTTTTTCAGTTGCATCTTCCCGTAATGCTGATGACCATCATCTACATTGCGCAAATCCAACCTTGGGCCAAGTAGTCTTCAGACTTCTCAAAACTGTCTCTTCAGTGGTTTTAAAGTAGGGATCAAGACAAGTAAGAACAAGTTAGTTTAGTACTTGTCAGCTATGTTATTGATACCTGTGGCAACATTCTCTTCAGGAATACACATTTATAGTCATCTACTATCAAACAGATGAGACTGAAAAGACCATGCACCATCAGTACTGCAGGTAGACAGTGTTACCCAATTCCACATTCAACTACCAGGGGTTTGCTCCCTTCTTTCACTTTCTGAAAGTATCTTCCAGAGATTAATTAAAAATAAATCTGTAAGTTAGATTTTATATAATGATAATTCCGATCCATTTTTCTTTACACCTTATGTCTTCAGACTCCTATGAAGGGATATTTCAACAACTGTCAAAATTAGAAGGGCTCCATAACTTTTCCCTTTTTCAACTACAAAGTTCGTCCTTTCTATTCCCTTTCTTGCCTACTATGAAGACCAGCAACTGGTTCAAAATCTACATGTCTTGAATTCCAGATTCCTGGTAAACGAAAATGAAATTCTTTTTGTTATTATTTATTTATTAGTTAAACCCTTCAATCTGGCACACAGAACAACTTCAAGTGTACCAAAACCAGGCTTGCTTCATTTCCTCTCTGAAGCAGCCCGTTGACTCCCATAGACCAAAGTGAAATCCCTAGTGAGAAAGCAAAGGAAGGACAAGAAGGACAGGAAGGACACACTATCCCTGTCACATAAACACGCACTTAAGACTTAGAAAAAAAGGCCTACCATTATCATCCTCATCATGAGGTCATTTTCTATGCCATCGACCACATTGTCATCCACGACCTGCTGTGTTTGATGACATCTATTTGAAAACACACAGAACGAATCCGCACCATTAGTACGTGGACAATCCAAGAATCGAACCTTTAAGTACACGTCCAGCTATTCACTTAGAAGTATCTAGCTTTCCACAATCCTGCTAATCACCTGCTCCTTATTTTTGCCGTTTCTTCCTGTATCTCAGTTTCTTCACATGCTTAGGAGATTTTCCAAACTTTTTAGCGTGGAATCCCTTGTTTTTTATCACATGCATATACATTTGTTTGAATGGGATTCCATTTACTGACGCCAAATTCTACCTGTTACTGCAATGCAACCAGGATGAAGCAGGTGACACATGTAGCCACAGGCAGGTAAGCAGCGGTGTAATCCACATACCGCAATCTCATGGGCATGTCAACTTCTACATTCTTTGGGGAGAAGTACTGATTTTAAGCAGATTAATAAACTGCAATATGAAAAGTACACACTTCATTGCCATAATATTATGTTTACTCAGATGTTTGAATCCATGCATATTTTTATTCCTAACTTATTACCAAAGTCATCCTACACAAATGTGTATAATATATTTGCCATGTGACACAGGATAATGATTAGTTGTCTTTATGCTAATTGCTCAGGGAAAATGTTTAATTGCATATTAAATTGATCATATGCATATTTTATTTAGTTTACTCTTTGGGGCAAGTTTACTGTCAGCATTACCTAGATTTGAGTAGTACTACACTAAATAGAGAAGTAGGGCTTCATGAGACTGGGATAGTGTTTGAAACGCAATTTAAAACAAAACAAGCAGAGCCCTACTTTACTTCAAGATGAAGCAGCTGAATTTCCACAGAAAGTCAAGAAATATCCTGCCTGGTTGCCTCACATATACAAAGGGAATATATCAGGACCAAAACAAAATGATTAAGGCTGCAAATTCCAGAGAACTAATTCTTTACATTTCTTCTAGTGATGTGATTATGAAACAGAAGCTTTAAATAGAGAGCAGTTTTGGTTTTGCTGTGGTTGTGTTTGGTGGGGGTTGGTTTGTTTGTTTTTGTGTTGTTTTTTTTTAAAGGAGTTCGTTTAAACATGTGCATACAACTTTATATCCTTTCTTCTCAAACAATTATTTTAAGAGCAGATGCAATACAAACAACATTACTGTAAATAACACAGCCACTTCTCTTACCGAGGCCCAAGTAGTAGAGAACTAACACAGCTATATTCCTATAAATAACCTATATTCCTATGGGCAACAAGTGACAGCAGCTAGGCCACTGACCTTCACGTGCCCGAGTCAGTTTTTCATTTGGTAAAAACACTGGCACCAAGACACTACTCTGCTTGCTAAGCTAGAGAGCAACACAAGTAAAAAAAATATCTAATTTTCATTTATTTATTTTACAATAAAGTCATTCCTAGTCTCCTTTCTGAAGGGGGAGAAAGTTGGACAAATAGCTGATTAAATACTTACCGCTTCGTTTTTATTTTTCCCCAACAGGAACTGAACTTTACTCTTTAGAAGAAAAGCAATTTATTCAACAGCCAAGACACTGAAATCACTTGCAGGCTTTTACCTTTACAAGCCATCACTCAAGACACAATGCCATTGAAAATCTGCCAGATCTGTGAAGTACATACAGCGTATTTTATACAAGGCCTAGGAGAATAGCAGCTTTTCCACTTGATCAAGTGCTGAAAACCATGGCAGAGGGATAATAAAGGTGAACAGGCAAAGTAGCCCTGTACCCCAAGGAGTTACCGAAGAGGCTGGCATTTCAAACCAATGAAACAGCTCTATCAGTCCCTGCTTCTTCATCTGTATAGAAAATGTTCAGTATTTACATATAGTGAAGAGATTAAATTCCAAATAAAAATATAATTTTATAATTAAAAACCCAGATCACTATAGTTCATTTTACAAATACAATAAAATTATGTCCATTAAGATATAATAAAGCAGTTAATTAGCCATGCTACGTAAACCAGAGCTCCAACAGCTCAGAACAAAACCAGTAAATATTTAACAGAAGACCAGCTTTTCTTAGAAAGGTTTCTAGGTAGGTCTAATAAAGTTAAACAAAAGCCTCTTGAACAAAATGGGCTTGAGATCTGCCTTCTGGACATGACATAGCATGGCTTCTGGACACAAATCTAGTCAGGCTCTCAAACCTTAGTTTTAATCTGTCTTGTATATTATTTCTAAGTCTGTAGTATCAAACAGAACCTGTGAAGTCCAAGAGGCAAATCTCTGTTCTACCAGTAATATTAAACTGCCATACTACTCAAGGAAAGTGTATGAGTTCTACCATCAGAATTCATAAAACAGAAAAAAGGATAGAAGGGTCATTGCAAAGTTCATTCAGCCAGCAGCTTGCTTATTGTAATTCTGTGAGGGGTTTTAATGCCTCAACATGGTTATGCTCTGCCTCAAAACTGGCAACTGTACTGATAGCCCACAGAAGGTGGTAAGAAACTTCTATTCCAACAAAAACGCATAACTGAAGGAAAGAATGTACTTAAAATATCATCACTTGGCAAATCAATCTAACAATACTATTAGACCATACCCAAGTTTGAAAAGGAAGTCTTCTAGCATCAATCTCCTGCCAGCACTGGCAGGATTACTTAATGTAACAGAAAGCTGTGCTGTTCACTTCTATTCAGTAGCAGAAATAAGTAACGAAATAACCTGCACCTAAAACATCCTGCACAGTTAAAGGCCACTGTCCAGTTAAACAGTAGTCTTATCTGTAATTCCCAAACTATTTCAAATGCAAGTCTTCTTGTGCAGTGCAACCACAAAAACACCGTCTTTGAACCAATTCCAAATTAGGGCAGAGCACGGTCGGGACAAGACACATGGATAAACTCATGTAAGACATACTGCAGGAATCCACTTCATGAGAAAACTTTCTCTGCAGAGATTTTTCCCCTGCTCCTTCCTTCACATATAGAAGAAAGCATGATAACCCAATGGAACCAGAGAAGCAGCATGAGAAGAGTTATCCTATATAACTCACTGAACGGTCTTTAGGACTGCATTAACCTGTAAGGCCAAGGGACAAGTAAACAAGTAGGTCAATGTTTCACTTCATGTACTCACTGTACAGCTGTTTTAGCACTAGCAGATAAACACAACAAAATTCTGACCCTGACCTCCTGCAAGGAAGCATGCAGTTCTGCTCCCCACAGACTCTATATATTTTTTGGCTCCCTTCTAGGCCAGCGTGAGAAAATGATCTCCCTTCATCAGTCAGAAGTAGACAGTGGATCCTGAGGCACAAGCAAGGAGAATGGCTATACTGCTATTTCTTAACAGTCTAAATCAAAGTATTATTTGCAGCTCTTGTCCTTGTGGTTTAACTCTCCAGTATTTTAAATGCTTACAACCAAGCATGTCTGCTTATAGCATAAAAACAAATGCCATCAATTTAGTGAAAACAAAAAATTATGCGTGGTGTTCTTCAACAGCACAACTAATTTAAATGAGTAGTTACATTTAGGATGAGCATAGTACATGCCTTGGTTTTGCAAAAAAACCCAAGCATTTGTCAAGTATCAATTAAGTGATGCAAATGAGAATTTTTAAAGAGAGTAGAAAAGGTTTTTAAAACTACTTGTGTAAAACAGAGATCACTTCAATAACAGCTGTCAGAGACTGTATCAGATATTGTCTCAACATTGCTGTTGTACCACCGTTGCTGCTTGCTGCAGATACACCCTACCTGCATGATGGAAAGCCAACCCCAATGCAGTTGAAGACGGGCTCAGAGGCGGAAAGCAGCCAGACTGTGGAGCAAATTCCAGCAAGTCAAACCTAACCCCAAGACATGTGCCCAGACCTGGGGTCTGAGATCTCCCAAGAAACGGTGTTTGACATGAGTACCACCGCCGATTGGTGGGAGCGTTTAGGCAAAACAGCTCTCGGAATACGCTAAATGGTTCAAGGAAACTAGTGAACGTGTAACAGAACAGCCAGCATAAGCTGAAAACGAGCAGCGTGGTTGGGAAATGCACAGAAGGGAACATCAGAAGGGACGTATGGAAGAAACGCAAGGACAACGCACACATTCTCCCACCAGAACGGACAACGAATCAAACTGACAGGACATCAGCCCAATTCAGCATCCAGTCTGGTGGGGGAACGCACAGAAACAACATTGGCAGGGACATACGGGAGAAACGCAAGGACAAAATGCACGCTCCTCCACCAGACTGGACAACAAATCGGACTGAGAGGGCATCAACGCTCCATGGTGGTAACTCTTTCCCCCACCCCTTTTCTCTCTCTTTTCCCTTTCTCACTCGCACACCAGTTGTCAGGCAAATAAAGCTACTTGGTGCCCGACTCCATTCTGAGTCTTAGTTCCGTTTCTGGGAATTCAAACACAGATCATCGCCCCAGTCTCTGACTGGAGTGCAACATTTAATTGGTGTCAGAAGTGGGATTTTCAGAAAACAAAAAGAGCCCAGTTCCTTTACAGAGACTCCTGTGTGTGTGAGACTGATAGGTACCTTGGTACGAAGCAAGTGCGGAGTCCGGATCCGCGGTTCTGTTTGTCCATGAGGAAAACAGCCAGAGAAGGACGACGCGATAGAACTGAATGACTGACGAGCCTCTGGAAACTTTTAAGGTGTGGCCTCTCGGGGAAGATTTGGGGTACAGGTGTTGTTAAGGTGCGGCTTACCCGAGAAGTTTGGTACGTCGTCTGGTAACTTGTGAGGGGTGGCCTCCTGAGAGTGAAAGGGGGATATTGTGGTAGAAAATTTAAGATGAGATCCTCTCAGGACGTAGTGACCACTCTGGTAAAATGAGTGCTCATACAAGTATGCATGTTCAGGAATCTGTCCCCTCACCAAGTGGGGACTTAGACAAATTAAATGATTTCTTAGGGATATATCACTCTTGTTCATCTCCCCAAAGGTGAGACTGGGTGAAAAATCATTGGTTCTTACCACAAGACATAGTGGATAGGATTAAGATCTTGCAGAAGGAGGCTAAAGTGAGATCAGGAAAGGGAAAAGCTATAATTTGTGCTGTTTTGGGAGCGAGTCTCACACTGGCAGCAGAAGATAGGACACAGAGACAGTCTCAATCTGATGACATGATAAACTGCCTGAAAATGCTGGTTAAATCCTTACAAGAACAACTAGAGAATACCAAGCAAATGTTAGAGGAGGAGAGAAATCAAACAGCATACTGAAAAAAGCATTAGAAGAAGAACTGGGGAAGGAAGCCAATACACATGCCGAGGTAAAAGTGAAACTACAGGAGAGAGGAATTAGGCAAATCTATCCTCAGGGCGATTTACAGAGGGCAAAAGAAACCATAAATACTCCCCCTCACATGTACCCTTTGATTAAAACAGAGTATTCATATAAAGACAATTATTTTAACCAT